GCAACTAAACTTTCGCTTCTTTCATTTCAGTAGTAAACATACGACAGGGAGTTTTAGAAATTGGTTGTGTACCCAGTATCACGTTAATTGTAAACTCAATTTCTCTTTCTACTAGTTGTCCAGGTTAGTCATCCGGAATCACATCAGAAAAGTCTTTCACTACTAGTAAACTATCTAGGGTGACATCCATGGTTTGTTCAGTCAGCACACAACACAAGTACCCTTGATATCCCTTCTTAAGTAACTTACAAGCTTTCATTGTAGAAATCAAATAAGGTGGAGGTACGACTCCATTACCCACAAATACAATTTCATCATGTCTTAGAGGTCCAAATAAAACCCGTTTCGTTACACAATCAATAGTTACACAATATTTAGACAACCAGTCCATTCCCAAAATTACATCAAAGTGTCTAATATCAAGAGGCAGTAGATCCACAAACAATATCACATTATCAACACATATTTCACAAGCACGATAAATAGATAAACATAAAGCAAGTTTCCCAGATGGGGTGGACACACGCAATATATTGGGCAATGATTCCATGGGTCAATTTAATCTATGTTCAAACATAGAAGAGACAAAAGAATGTGTCGAACCCGAATCAATTAACACATATACATCTTGATTGCAAATAGGGAGAGTACCTGAAACCACAACCTCAGTATTTTGAGTATCTCCTGGAATCAGTACAAAAGCCCGTCCTTGCCTCTGCTCATTACTTGTTATAGTGGGCGTTGCGTTTGTTCTTGTTGTTGGAGTAGATCTAGTTGAACTTGCAGTACCTTGATTTCCACTTCAACGTGGTTGTGTACAATCCTTTGCGATGTGTACCCCAATGTTTATTTCCACAAGTAGCACAAGTTGGTGCTGAATTACCACTTTGGCTTGAACCAATATTACTAGAATTCCCAGACTTCAACTTCTTGTTCGTTGACGGTGCCCCCTTATTAAAATTTCATCGCCTACTCTTCCATTCAAAGTTTTGTTTACAGTTAGCCACATTAGCCTCTGTTATTAGTGTCTTATCAAGAACATCCATATATGTCGGTAATTTGAGAACATTAACTCTATCTCGGATTGGGTCACACAAACCTCCCTCAAATTGTCTAGCTTTCATGTAGTCTATATCTACCATATGAGGTGCAAATCAGGCTAACTCTGTAAATTAAGCCTCATATTCAGCAACTGATTTGTTTCCGCGCTTGAGTTTCATGAATTCAGACACTTTCCTATCTCGTACACATTGCAAGAAGTACTTCTTATAAAAGATCTCTAAAAAGCGAGCCCAAGTAATATCCTTATTCTCATCACGAACCAACATCCACCAACACCTGGCATCATCTTTTAAGGTGAATGTAGTTAGTTGTACTTTCTGAGCTTTGGCACATAGGAACTCCTCAAACAACTTTTCAATCCCTAAGACCCAAGCTTTCGTCTTTAATGGTTCAATCCCACCATGAAATAATAATGGCTTCATCTTTTTGAATTCTCTAGTCAAAGCAACAATACAATCCCCTGTCTGACACCCTAGAGCTGCAGGTGGTACATGCATTGGAGGTGGGGGTGGCAATCGTTGTTGTTGTTATTGCCACTGTTGTTGTTGTCTTATGGCTTCAACCATGTCCTGCATCATTCATTCCATTTTGTCCAATCTTGAGGAGGTTGCCTCCTTTAGCTCATCACTTCCTGTTCTCACCATTTTTTATATGAAACTTTGTATTATGATAAACACAATATAATTCTGTACACGATGCTCATAAAATTAATCATGAAATTCATCTCACTCTAATATATAAATGAACATGTATGCAATTCCTGAAATCTCTTCTAAACTCTCTATAGCTCAAGGGACAAGTGAGTGGGATATAACCCGTGCTCTGATACCACTTTGTCACGACCAAAACCCATCCCTATACGTTTAGCGTCATGACTGGCTAGTAATCATAGATTACCTATAACCTTCATAAACAAAATCCATTTTAAGATAAAGTACGAGCTTAGCGGAAGTATAAGTTAACATAACATTTGTCCATTTAGCCATGTGTGTATGAAAAGAACTTCGTATAATAAGCAAAGATTTGTTCCAAAAGTACAAACATTCATGTCTTATAGTTATACAAAACCCCAAAATATACACAAAATACAAAACCATTTAACAAGCAAAAATGGGGTGTTCAACTAGCATGGCTCCACCTGGGCCTAGTTACTTCACTTGGAAGCTCCTCAAAAGGTTGACTCAGGTAGACTCGAGGCTTTCATAACTCTGATGTTTAGCTTGCCCACCTACATATATATAGATAGTGAGCTAGGGCCCAGTGAGTAATAGCAGAATAAAGCGGTTTTATGAATGAAGTTTGATAACATGCCAATCCAATTCTCATTTCAATTCTTAATTCACAATATTTAATAAAATTCATTGTTGATGTCATTTCAATATCAAATTAAGTGGCATGTTCATAAAGCAATAACATTCCGATCACAATGGATCCTTATGGTCAAGCCAATGGACCACGAAGGATCAAACCAATGGACCACAAAGGGTGAAACCAATGGACCACGAAGGGTCAAACCAATAGACCATGAAGGGTCAAACACTAGAGATCTCTATGCTTCAGTTAATCCCAATAACCATTGTATTGTTACCCCCACGCAATGGCCTATAATCAATGGATGCCACAATGCAGTTTCAAAAGTGAACTTCATTCATTAATAGAAAATAACATTTTTAATAAACCATTCAACCGATTGCGTATTGTTTTCAAGAACAATAACAATTTCAAAATAAATATTACTTGGACATATTATAAAGTTACTACTCACAGTGGGTTATGTTGTCACTAGGCCTCGGACGTTCACATATACAAAACACATAACAAAAATACAATTGAAGCACCGTTCGATATCCATTCCACTTTAATTAAATTTCTCCCATGTGTTTTTAACTCATTCCATGTTTATATAAGCTTAATTCGTGTCTAAGAGTACTTGAAATGATATGAGAATGAAAGTATGCACTTAAAAGAGTTAGTCAAACTTTGTTGAAAACAGAATATCCGCTCAAGCGCAGTTTCCTCTGCTCGAGTGGAGGTTCAAAAATTAGGGTGGTCGCTCGAGCGCCACTTCTGTTGCTTGAGCGGTCTGTAAACTCTGCAAAAGTACTGGTTGCACGAATTTTTCGCTCGATGGACGCTCGATGGTCACTCGAGCGGAAGACTGAGTAAAAAGGGTCCTCTTTCAAGCGCAACTTTGGTCACTCAAGCGGTCTGCAAAATTTTGTAAAACCTCTAGGAGCTCGATTTTTATGCTTGAGCGGACAGGCCGAATTATGGAATTTCCAGAACTATGTTTGAAATTCAAATATCATATTCAAAGGTTCAAAACTTGTATTTTTGGTACAAAAACATGGAAAACATTTTAGAACTTGGAAATATAGTCAATTTGAAACCAATTGCTCAAAATCATGGACACAATTCTCAAAATCAAACTTGAATCATGAAGTTGGAACCATGCATGACATGTATTGCCCTCACTTCTTTTCAAATCCTTTCAAAACTTGATCAAATGCCATGACCAGTGTAAAAACATGAAAAATTCTTCAAATAAATGTGTAGAAGTCCCATGCAAGTAAGAATTCATAGAAAATTGAACTCAAAGATGAAGGATTATGCATGCATGTATGCAATTATACTCAATTCTTCCATACTCAAGTCAATCCTTTCTATTTACATGCAAATAGACTCATAACTTCTTGAATTCATTGCCTACATGTTTTATTTTCAAAATTTAAGAAGGAATTCCATACCTATGAATTCAAGTGTTGTCCAGCTCAATTATTCAAGTCCTCCACAATTTCCTTCAAATTCCCCTTTCTCTCTCTCTAAATGTTGAGTTTACTTTTCTCATCTCTCACAATCTCAGCCCATGTGTTTGTATAAGTGACTTCAAAACATGTGCTAAGCATACAAAGAGTGTAATTAACTTAGCCTAATCAAAGTTGATTAAGGTTAATTAATTAGGCTCATTTCTAACTAAGTTCAATCAGTTTATTCTAATTATTTTGGTCTGAATCAAATTTCTAACAAAAGTTGCCATAAAATTCTAAATATTCTAATTAACATGTTGGGCTAGTCAATTTTGGCTTCCGAAGCCATTTGGGCTTTCAATTTCGAATTCTAATTCATTATGTGAACAGATATTTTATGTAATAACAGATAATTACAAAATTAAGCATGTGATCACACAATTAAACACACAGTCAAGAAATTAAACTCATTGAAACAATAATATAATGGTACAGACTTTCACTAGCTCAAGTTGGTTAGATCAGCCGGTTCACCATCAATGAAACTTATATGCTATGAAACATGGGTATAGGTGTAAATACTGGTACTGGTATAATATAGGTAGGTCTATATGGTAAAATTCAAAAAAAAAAAAAAAAAAAAAAAAAAAAAAAAAAAAAGGATACGAGTACGGCTTGATATGCTTGTAAAAAAATATTTATTTTTAATTTATAGTAGTACAAAAATTAATTAAATGATTTAATTTGTTAAGGTCCAACCTATAATTAAGATTTAATGTCAAAAGTAAATGTATAAATCAAAATTAAATGTCAATTTATTAAATAACTTACAAATCATAGTCTAGTAAAAGAAGTTTTATCTCAGTAATAGAAGAAAATATTATTTCAACTGAGATACAGTACAGCTTGGGTATATCTTAGGTACATCTCGGTACGTCAAAAATTAAAAACAAAAAAATTTGGGTACGTATTTCATGTATCTGGTACATATACAGAAGAATCATACGAGATACCACACGCTAGTAAGTACTCGATACGGATACGACATATCTTTCGAAAGACCCATAGTTCATAGCTTACATGCAACTCACTTTAATTAGTGTGCATTCCATGCATTCTTATCCCATAATCTACTTGTGAATGATGATTAAGCTTCCCTTCCTATCATCATTATCATCACCGACTCATTCTCTAACACCGCTCCATGTCACGCCACTTGAGGTAGATCAGCCCAGTATGGAAATGTGTGTAAGCCCCAGCGTCCACCAACACATGAAATAGTTGGTGACTGCTGCAAACAATATCAAAGTTGCCCGGTTTCCACCTCTCGGGGACTCTAATCACATATATAAAAGCTCCAATCCCATACAAAACCCCCATTAGCACCTCGTAGACAGTTGTTTGGATCGCCTCTGAGCAGTTTCCATACAACATCAGCTTGTGGATCACAGGTGCTACACCTGACATGCCCATTGCAAAGTAAAGAGAAGTGCGAAAACAACGGAAATAAGGCTTCTGGAAGGCCGGGAGTGTTAAAATTAATGCCATATTTACATTAGATACATTGGATACATTGCATGCATTGGATACATTGAGTTCATACATTCTTTTTATTCATGTATTTTTATATTCATGTATTTTATATTTATTAAGTACATTGTCTAGATTATATTCATGTACCTAATTAATTGCAAGGTTGTTTAGGTTCATGGATCTTATTCATTGAACTTATGTATAACCTTCTCTATATAAAGGGATGTAAGCCTATAGGCAATATATATGAATCAATAAGTGATAAAAATTCAATACAAAATATAGTTCATTCTAAAGAGAGTTTTATCAAAAGCTAACATAAGTGGTATCAGAGCTTTGGTTGGGTCAAGAGCAAGCTGGGCGTAGAGATCGGATACGGGAAAACAAGCCCCGAAGAAGAACAAACCGATGTCCATGGCGAATCCCATCAACCAAAATGTATCCACTCCTATCTTTAATGGTGAAAATTTTGATTTTTGGTATGTGAAAATGAGAACTATTTTTGTCTATACGGAGCTTTGGGATCTTGTTGAGAATGGGTTCGAGGAACCTGAAGATGAAGAAGCTTTGACAAATCCCCAAAAGAACCAATTAAAAGAGCAAAGGAAGAAGGATTCAAAGGCTCTCTCTTTTATTCAACAAGGAGTTTCAGAAGCAATCTTTCCAAGAATTATCAATGCAACAAAAGCGAAGGAAGCATGGGATATTCTTCAGAAAGAGTATAGAGGCAACTTGAAGGTAAGAACCATCAAACTTCAGTCATTGAAAAGAGATTTTGAAAATTTAAAGATGAAGGATATGGAATTGTTGAAGGATTATTTTTCTAGGGTTATGGAACTTGTAAACCAAATGAAAATTTATGGGGATAATATTACTAATCAAAGAATTGTTGAGAAAATTTTGATAAGTTTGCCAGAGACATACAATCCCATTGTTGCTGTCATTGAAGAAACTAAAGATCTTGCTGATTTGAGTATTGAAGAATTGATGGGTTCAATTAAAGCATTTGAGCAAAGGTTGAGTAGGCAATCTGAAAAGTCAATTGAAAGTGCCTTTCAATCCAAGCTCAATGTTAGTACCTCTAATTCCCAAGGAAGAGGAAGAGGAGGAGGAAGAAATGCAACTAGAAGAGTAAGAAATGCAAGAGGAAGAGGAAGGTCTAATTTTCAAAGAAAGGAAAATGAAGAGTCCACTCAACAAAAGTGTGAAATTTGCAACCGAAGCAATCATGTTGATAAAGATTGTTGGTTTCGAGGAAAGCCAAAATGTTAAAATTGCAACAAATTTGGGCATGTCAAGAAGGATTGCTTAGTCAAGAGCACTCAACAAGCTAATTTTTCTGAGGAGCAAGAAAGTGAAGGGCACATGTTCTATGCTTGTCACAAGGCATCGGATCAAACCAAGGATGTATGGTTTCTCGATAGCGGATATAGCAATCACATGACAAGAGATGAAAGCATTTTTGTAAAAATGGATGCTTCCTCCAGTCCTCAAGTAAAAATGGGAAATGGTGCCTTAGTCCAAACAAAAGGAAAATGTACTATTGCTATAGAAACCAAGATGGGTACAAGTTTCATTTCCGATGTTCTCTTAGTTCCAGACTTAGAGCAAAATTTGCTAAGTGTTGGACAACTTATGGAGTGTGGATATCTTGTTCACTTTGAAGACGATTTTTGCAAAATTTTTGACAAAGGGGGGAAAAGCCAAGTTGTAGCAAAAATCAAGATGGAGAAGAATAGAAGTTTTCCTCTCATTTTTCGGTATAGCAAAAATGCAGCTTTGAAGATGGATGTGATTGATAATTCATGGCTTTGGCATAGAAGATTTGGGCACTTGAATTTTCAAAGCTTGAAACATCTACAACAAAACAATATGGTTTTTGGGTTGCCAACCATTCATGAAGTGCAACATATTTGTGAAGGTTGTGCACTTGGAAAGCATCACCGGGAGTCATTTCCAAAGGAGAAAGCATGGAGAGCTAAAGCACCATTGGAGCTTGTCCATACCGATGTGTGCGGACCTATGGATACACCAACTCATGGAGGTAACAAATACTTTATTATCTTTGTTGATGATTTTACTAGAATGACTTGGGTGTATTTCATGAGACAAAAGAGTGAAGTTTTCTCTATCTTTAAGAAATTTCAAAATCTTATTGAAAGACAAAGTGGTTGTTTGATGAAAGTATTGAGAAGTGATAGAGGCGGAGAATACAACTCAAATGAGTTTATGAAATTTTGTGAAGATATTGGAATGGAAAGGCAATTAAAAATGAAGCATGGAAGAAAGCAATGGAAGATGAAATTCATGTGATTGAGAAGAACAAGACTTGGGAGTTAGTGGAGAAACCGAAAGAAAAAGAAATAATTGGTGTGAAGTGGATTTTCAAAACAAAGTTCAACCTTTAGGAAAGCATCACCAAGGAGTCATTTCCAAAGGAGAAAGCATGGAGAGCTAAAGCACCATAGAGCTTGTCCATACCGATGTGTGCGGACCTATGGATACACCAACTCATGGAGGTAACAAATACTTTATTATCTTTGTTGATGATTTTACTAGAATGACTTGGTGTATTTCATGAGACAAAAGAGTGAAGTTTTCTCTATCTTTAAGAAATTTCAAAATCTTATTGAAAGACAAAGTGGTTGTTTGATGAAAGTACTGAGAAGTGATAGAGGCGG